TTTCTTAGTAATTTTTTTTGTGGTAGCCTTTGAGTATGAAATATATATTATAACAATCTACTTTCAAATAACACTATTCCACTTCATTGATGGTGCTGGTACTTTGTAACAGTATTTCCACTCCTTCTAATTTGTATTACATTGCTATCACTCATTTTACTTATTCATAGCTATAATCACCCAATACATTGTTAGTATTATTATTTAGAACTGTTACCTATTACATCAATTAAGAAGACACTAGATTTTATTTTACATTTATTTATTCCTTGTCTAATGCTTCTACCTTTATGTAGTTCTGAATTTCTGACTTATATTGTTTTTCTTTTCTCTGAAGAACTTCTGTTAACATGGCTTGCAAGTTAGACCTACTGGAGAAAGAGTTCATAAATTTCTGTTTATCTAAGATAGTCTTTATTTCTACTTTGCTATTTAGGATAATTTTACTGGATACAGATTTTTATATTAGCGTGTGTTTTCTCTCAACAGTTTAAATATTTCACTTTATTCTTGCTTGCATGGTTTCTTAAAAGAAATCTGTCATAATTTTCATCCTTGCTCCTTTGTAGGTAAGGTGTTTTATTTTACTCTGGTTTCTTTCAAGATTTTATTTTAATTTTAAGAAACTCTTTGATTTTTTGCATTTTAAATATGATATGGCTAGGTGTGGATTTTTTTTTTTTTTTTTTTTGTATTTAACCTGCTTGGTGTTTGCTGAGATTCCTGAACCTGTAGTTTAATGTCTGCCATTAATTCTGAAACATTCTCAACCATCATAATTTTAAATATTTCTTCTGGTTCTCACTGTCTTCCTTCTACTTCTGGTATTCTCATTATGGGTTACATGTGTTACACTGTTTGAAATTGTCCAACAGACTTTGGATACTGTGTTTCATTTTTTTCCTCTTTGTGTTTAATGGAAAATTTTTATTGACATATCTTCAAGCTCTCTGATTCTTTCCTCAGCACTTCCCAGGCTTCCCAGTGGTTCCAGTTTTTGATGAGCCCATCAAAGACCTACATTTCTTATACTTTTTTTAATCTCTAAGTTTCCTTCTGATTTTTTCTTAGAGATTTCATATCTTTTGTTTAGATTGCCTGTTCTTACATGTTGTCCATTTTTTCAACATAGGGCCCTTAGCATATTGATTATTTCAAATTTCTTATCTGATATTTCCAAATCTGTCATATCTGCATATTTGCTTGCTTTGTGTCTTAAGACTGCATTTTTTGGCTTTAGCATGCCTTGTAGTTTTCTGTTGAAAGCCCAACATGTTGTATTGGCAAAGGAACTGAGGTAAGGAGGCCTTTAATGTAAGGTTTTATGTTTATCTGGTGAGTAGTCCGTGTTTGATCTTTGCATCACTGTGGTGTCAGAAGCTATAATTTCCTCTAAGGTCCTTTTATTTTTCTTTATTCTGTTTCATTTGAGCTTCCCTAGAGAGTCTATCTTAAATAGGGACTAAAATTGACAGCTTTTTCATTTGAAATCTGCTGTTACTATACAGGTAACTTACTGATGTGATGGTAAGGTGTAGAGAGAGGAGAAGCATCCTATACTCCTATGATTAGGTCAGTCTTTTAGGGAGACTGTCTTCTTGACTGACCTTCAGAGTGCTTCTCAGCTTCTTTCCCCTTCCCTTGGGTGAGAAAAGAAGGTTAGACAGGGCTGGTGCTGGGTATTTCCCTTCCCCTAGGTGGTTTAGGCTCTAGTAAACTAGTTTTTTGTGAGGTAGTTAGAATGTTGTTAAGGAGAACATAATGTTCTGTGCTTATTTCAAAATGTTTACTCCTTCCCTCCCTGTGCTGGAGACATAGAGCATTTTTCTCCTATCTTTATCCTGAGAACATAATGAGTTACCTCCTGGAGGTAAAACTCGTGAAAGTGTGTTGACCAAGGCTTATCCCTCACTCTCGTAGTTTATAATCTCTCAAGCTTGTCCTTGCTTAGGACCCATCAATTAGTCAATTACATTGTAAGTGTTCTTTCCAGATTACACCATCTGCTTTTGCTGCATTAGGGGCAATACTGCTTTCACTTGTCTCTGCAGCTTCCGGAGTAATGTTTTTCCTATGACTTTAACTCTCTATTGGATCTAAGAAGAATTGTTGATTTTTAGTTAGTTCAGATGTTTTCTTGTTGTGAGAATGGGAGTGATGACTTCCAGTCTCCTAATGTTATGTCAGGTTGGAAACTAGAAGTCTTTTCTGGCTTCATTTTTGTAAGGGTCCGTTGTTTTCTTGCATACTCATTTATGTCTTCCTGGTGATTTAAAAAAAGAAATCATTAAGTAATGTCCCTCTTTGGTTCTAGTATTTTTGTTCTGAAGTCTGTTTTATGAGATAGCCATTCTGTTTTCTTTCAAAATTAATTTGCAGAGTGTATTTTTTCCATCCTGTTATTTTTAACCTACCTATGTTTACTTTGAAGTGAGTGTCTTAGAAATACCTAGTTGTGTTTTTGTTTCAGTTCACTCTGCCAATCTCTGCCTTTTATTATATTTGACATTTACATTTAAGGTAATTTTTATAATTTTCTTACTGTTTGCTTGATATTATAGTATATATATGTGACTTATCACAGTCAATCTTAAATATTTTCACCCTTAGAATGAAATATAGAATCCTTATTTCTATTTGGGTCCTTTATTTTTCACACTTCTAAATATCGTTGTCTTGAGTATCATATGGTATTACAATTTTTGTGTCAATTATATGTTATTTCGAAAATTAATGATAAGGATAGTCTGTTATATTTACCCATATTTCTTCTTTTTTCATTTGTTTCCTGATGTTCCAAGAATCCTTCTAAGTTCCTTTCCTTTTGAAAAACTTCCCTTTAGCCATTCTTCAGGGAATGTCTTCTAGCAACAAATTATTTTAGTTTTCTTTTGTGTTAAAAAGGTTTTATTTCCATTTTATTCTTGAATGACAGTTGCTCTGGATATAGAATTTATAGTTGACAATTCTTTTGTATCAGCCCTGAAAAAAAATCCCATTTCTTCTGGTTCTATAATTTCAGATGAGTAATCTATTATCATTCAAATTAGTGTTCTCTTACAGATAATGTGTTATTCTCTCAGCCTTCTTTCAATTTTTTTTTGTTTTGTTTCCAAAAAGTTCAATTATGATGAATCTTGGTGTGCATATATTTTGGGCTTATTCCTTTTTGGACTTACTTTACTTCTTAAATCTGTGAGTTTAATATCTTTCACCACATGTGGGACATTTATAGCCAGTATTTCTTCAGTACTCTTTCAGCACACTCTCTTTTTGAGATTCTGATGCTGTTGTCTAATAGGTCCCTATGGCTCAGTTATTTTTATATTCAGTCTATTTTCTCTTTTTTGGTCAGGTTAGATAAAGTCTATTGATGTGTCCTTAAGTTCACTGATTCTATCCTCTGTCTTCTTCACTGTATTCTTGAGCCCATTTAGAGTTTTTTTAAAAGTTAACGTTATTGTATTTTCCAGTCCTGGAAACATAACCTTCCTCTTTCTACCTCTCAGAATCCTCTTTGGTTGTCTTCTGTATTATTTCTGGAATCTATCATTAAATTTGGTGGAAATTGCAGGAATAGACAAATCTATATAATCCTTTATCAGTCTAGAAGTTCCCCCTTAAGTCTTTTTGTTACTGTTTCTAAAAATATATGTTTTTACTACTTTATAGGGAATATGGGAGATTTAGATGTAAATTGGCACTTGTACATTAGGATATAATGAGTGTTTTGCTCTTTAATCTGTTTCCATTTAATGGTGAAGTAGGCAATTTTTAAAGTGGCATTCCTAGAAAGGTATATTAATTTTTAAGAATACCTTTCAGTTTTTAGTGACAAAGCTTTTAGCACATTTTTAAAAAGATTCCTGATACTAATTCCTCTTTAAATTTTCCCAGATCGCTTTTTTTTTTTGGGGGGGCAGACGGGTGGGCAGTGGACAGCAGTGGTCAGCAGTGGTAGTAATGAATGCAGAGATCTTATCTAAGAATGAGTTATAATTGAGTTGTGATAAGCAATAAGGTAGAAGCTAAGTTCCAGATCTCAATTCATATCGCAATGGTAACAACCTATTGAAATTTGAAAAAAAGCACCATATGACCAAGCATGTTTAAAAAATTGGTTGACTTAATCCAATTTTATTTTCCTCATGCCCTAATCTGTGACAACTGCAACTTGTTTCCCCTGGTCCCCTTCCACTTTTTAAGATGGGTGGCCTGACACCTGCTTTTTAAATTCTGTGATGTGTACTCCATCACCCCAACCTTCACTACCTATCCCCAGAAGCATCCCTTGTCCTAATATGTGGCTCTATAGACCTAAGTCAGTGTCTGGCTCTACAATTTAATCATTGTCATTGCTCAGGAGGAGGTGCACTAGTCAGAGCTGTAGTTGACCCACGGCACTTTGTTTCAGAGATGAAAAAGGCCTATCAGTGCCATTTCTTTAGCCTCCAGATAAAAAGTCAGGACATCCAATACAATAAAAACACAGGCCTCCAAAAATTTATAAGTCCTTACAAAGAGTACCATATCTTTCCAAATGTGTAACACACAGCTAGTTAGCAAAAAGATGTAATGAGATCAAATCAGTATCTTTGTATAATATTAAATTTTCTCAATGAACATTTCATAATTTCAAATAGATTTTATCTGTAGTATGCAGATTACTCTGGTATTTATCTTAATGGTGAATGTTTTATGAATGTTATTTCTATGGAAAGTATATAATATCAAGTGCAACTAAGGACTAAATTCTAATAAAAGAATAATAGGTGGGAGTCATTTAAGCCTAGATATTGAAGTATTGGTGGAAAAACATTGGTTAGCGTGTTAAAGAAATATCTTTGTTTCAGAGGTAAAATACAGGTTTTTAAGTATAGTCTCATTTTCTCTCTATCTCTGACACACACGTACTTTACAGCTGGGAGTACAGGGAGTTATATGGGGAGGGTGGTGGTGAGGGACAAAGTAGATGACATCTTCTCATACTTGTCTTTCAGATGGAACCCCACTGAGCTGGTGGGTTGGAAGAACCAATGAAACACACACTTACTGGGGAGGTTCTCTGCCTGATGCTCAAAAGTGTACTTGTGGATTAGAGGGGAACTGCATTGATTCTCAATATTACTGCAACTGTGATGCTGGCCGGAATGAATGGTGATTTCCACATGATTTCCCTGCACAAAAATGTAGTTTTTATTTTTTAATTATGCATAGTTAATTAAATGTCAGACAAGCTGGTACAAAAAGGTAACTAGATTAAAGTATGCTCAAGCAAGTTGAAATATAAGTTTTGATGAAATATGGTCAGTTAATCTAATGATTAAATTTTATGGCTAGAGATTTACTATTTCATTGTGAATACTGGATAATGTGTGTTTTATTTTTCCTGAAATAGAAACAGCTGGTAAGTTTTTCAATCACTGGAAATCAAATGTTATTCTCTTGGAAGTTTAGTTTAGTTTAGTTTAGTTAATTAATCAATCAATCTAGTATTCATGTGGCAATTCAAAAAGCGAATTTCTCCAAATCTTTGTCTTAAAATGATTTGGGATATAATGCTGCACATTCTATCATTCTTTTAGAAATTAACAGTAATATTAACACATTAGAACTCTCAGAGGTCCTGCGTAAAAGGACTGTGTTTATTTTGTAGAAGCAACAATTTCCCATACTCACTGAACTGTTCTTTAGTGCGATAGCAAAACTTTGAGCACCAAGTGTTCTGTAGACTACACTTTGAAACAACTAACATAGAATTTCAGGAATTTGAAAAGTATACTGTAAGCTTTTCTTTGAGCAGAAAAATTTTCTCATGTAGATTGCAATGCCTCTTTATTTCAGAAGTTCTTTTTGAGGTTATTATTGAAATGTATATTGGTTTTCTTTTTTTTAAATTTGTAATGCGTAAATGTTTTTAATCTTTGGGTTCATGTCAGCAACTTAAAAAGCATTGTCATAGAATAGCTAGATCATGCAGAGTACATGCTTTTAAAAAAATCTTAGGCCAGACACAGTGGCTCACGCCTGTAATCCCAGCACTTTGGGAGGCTGAGGTGGGTGAATCACCTGAGTTCAGGAGGTTGACCAGCCTGGCCAATGTGATGAAATGCTGTCTCTACTAAAAATACAAAAATTAGCCAGATGTAGTGGTGTGTACCTGTAGTTCTAGCTCCTCAGGAGGCTGAGACAGGAGAATCGCTTAAACCCAGGAGGTTGCTGTGGGCCAAGATTGCGCCCCTGCACTCCAGCCTGGGCGACAGGGTGAGACTTCACCTCAAAAAAAAAAAATAATAATAATAATGGTCAATCCACGTGTTGGTATAGTTGATTTGAACATAAAATATCTAATCTAAGCAGTAATTTGATTCCTGAAAATTGAGTTTATTATTTGGCCTACATGCTAGTCCACTTATTTATTTGGCATAAAAAAGTCTATTTTCTATCACTTTAAAAAATATTGTGAAATTGGAAAAACTCACTTGAATCTACTGGAGTTTTCTATAGAATACATACTATACACTTACATCGGTATTATTTTTACTCTTCCTCAAGTTGAAAATTACAAAATGATCATATAGATTTATGAGACACTCTTTTTCAATATTTTGATGTACAATCCTAATATAGCTTTCTCTTACTTAAAAATGAATGCAGTTTTAGTGCAGTGAGTAAGAAGAACAAATCCGATCCACAGTTTCAAGTCTGGCCACCCTTAATTTCAGGTCTGAAGTAACCTCCCATCTATTAAAATGCTTTTATACAAGATTTTGTATGATGTACATTTTAAAGTGTCTGGTATTATAGTGTGATGACATTTGTTAGCTTTGGGCTCCGTAATGAGACAAACAGCCACCTTCAAATCTTTTGAGGGACATCTTTAACAATCCTAGAGGTTTTCATTTCCTCCATTCCACAAGGGGCTTCTGCCTGCAAGGGCTCCAGCCCTCCAGCTCATTAGTCTGTTCCCACCCACATTTTCTATAGGTCAGAGAGGAGATCATTGGCAGGTTATTGCAAGAAAGCCAGAATGGTATATATGCTAGTGGCTTTATAACTTAATTAGAAGAATGTTAACCATTTTTTGTTACGGAACTCTCTATTAGTGTTAAGTGCATACTTTATTGTAGACTTCACATATACTTAGGGCAGTAACCAGAGGAACGCATCACTTGGAGCCATCTGTATTGAGTGACCTTCCCATGCACTGACTCCGAGGAGGGGGATAGGAGAAACTGAAGTGGGTGCAGGTCCACTGACACCCTTAGCTGTGACACTGCAGCACCATAAAGGACTGCATTCGTGTGACAGAAGACTTGGGCTTTCATTTGGAAAACAAATTTAGGAGAGATACAGGTCTTAAAAATTAAATCCCCTCCTACATTCAGAAGGGAGCATTGTGGAGTCACTTGCTTTTTAATCTTATTTTATTTACTTTGCACCTTCTGGTAGACAGGTCTATTCAGCAGTAAGACCATAAGCATTCTCAAATTCTGTCCCAACTTTGCAGAAAATGTTTTGTAAATGTGGGTGTGTGTATGGGATTGGGGTGGGGAATTCCAATTTCTATTTTAATTTTTTCAAATAAAACTGATTTTTCAGTTTATAAAACTAGAATTTACCAACCTTATAAAATGAATAGATTTATAATTATAATAATATAGATTAAGATGTAGAAATAAGAACCTAAATCTTAGTTTTTATTCAGTATTTTCTATTACTGAGATCCCTAGTAAGGTTTTCTTGGTGGGAAGTTTATGATAAAAAAATAGTATTCAGAAATGAAAGTAAAGTGAAAGCTATTTTAAGTCTCTTCAGGTATCTGTCTGTTGAGGTAGCCAGTGGTGGTGTTAATATAAACCATCACCATTTTTCCATAAGGTGTACCTGTAATCAGCAGCTCATCGAAAGTATATTACTTAAAAAATAGCTAATGATCAGACAGTTCCTCAGTTACAGTAGGAAAGTTCTATCAAATAACTATGATATGCCAAAGATTTATTATATAAACAAATATATTTAAAAGGCACTATAATGACTTAAAATATTAAGCTACACTGCAAGTCAATGTATGTGTATAAATGTAGAGTGGACTGTGTTCAAAGACACTTGTATAGTCTCTAAAATATACATATAACATATAATTCAACTGTCTGCAAAAATCCGCAAGTTGTTTTCCTAGTGTAATGATGACACATGTAACTATATTATTTTACTTCTAATAATTTAAATAGGCCTTTTCTGTGATTATCTTAGAGTCTTTAAAAAATAAGCACAAATAAAAAGCATAAAATAAGGTGGTTTAAATGCATACAAGTGTACAAATAATCATAATAAATATGAGTAAACTGTGTTTATTTAAAAACCAGACATTAGATTTTATCATACTGGATTTGTAAAGAAGCTATATCTTGTTTACAGAAGATAAAATATAAGCATTCAGTGAAGTTGAAACTAAAAAAATGGAAAATATTTACCAAGTAAATACAGATCAAAAGAAAGCAGATATAGCTGTAAGTCAGACTAAGACAAAAAGCAGTGTTAGGGATAAACTTGAATTCTGTCTAATGCTACGATGGACTCACTAGAACGATCTCATTACCCTACACTTGTATGCATCATCAGAGTGTTCAAAATATGTAAAGAAGTAATAAATATGCAAAGGCAAAGTGACACCCAAAACAGTAGAATAATTTAACATAACATTTTTGGGAATGAATAAGTGAAGCAGATAAGAATATTTTAATATTATAATTCATAAACTTGATACAGCAGCCATATATCAAGTTGAGTAAAGAAAAACTTTTATAGAATGTATTATACAATATTATTGAGCAAGTATAGAAAATATTGCAAATGGATGGAATCTTAACAAATTTTACAGAATTGCCATGATAGAAACTATACGCTTAATTATAATCAATAACAAACATAACTTTTAAAAGCTCATGCATGTGTCAGTTACAGACACAACAGAAGATAAAATACATGTAAGTGATGAAAAGTTTGGAAAAGAAACAAACGGCACATATTGTAGATGACATGATTGCCTACATAGAAAATCCAAAATAATATAAAGAAATATCAGGAAAAATGATAGTTCAATAAGTTTACTGAATTTATGGTCAGTCTTGAATTTCTTTAAAATCATAAAATAATTACTGTTACAAACCTAGTAAAAATGTATTTGCAATATTAAAAAAATGTAAAGTTCTGTGGAATAACTGCAGTACTTTAATGGAAAAAATTATGAATCTTTGTCAAGAGAATTAAGGACAGCCAAATAAATGGATTGACTCACTACTGTCGTGGATAATATGACTCAGTATCTTAAAGAAGTGGTTCTCAATCAGGTAATTTTGACCCTTAGGGGACATTTGGCATTGTCCGAAGACTTTTTTGTCGTCACACAGAGAGGAAGGTTGTTTATATTGGCGTCTATTAATTAGAAGTCAGGGTGCTGCTAAACATCTTAACAATGCACAGGACAACCCCTCATAACAAAAAAAAATTAGTCCAAAATACCAATAATGCGGCTGGTGAGATACCTTCTTTCAAAGTTGACATTCTCCTCAAATTAATCTATAATTTTAATGAAATTCCAAAAAATGTGGTGGTTTACTTGTTTGTGTAGATTGCAACAAGTTGGTTTTAAAATTCACATGGAAATTAAGGATGAAAGGATAAGCAAGGTAATTTTTAAGATGAAAAACAACGTGAAGAGACTAATTCTGTTAGCTGTCAAGACATGCTATATTGCTATAGTAATTAATGCTGGTTGAATTGACTAAAAGATAGGCAATTAACAGAAATTGAGAATCTGGAAATTTTTTAAGTGGGTTGCGTGTGGATCATAATGATTTTATTATTGCTGACCTACTACCCCAAAATAATCATTAAAAGTGAAAGTTGACTCAATGTTTCTCCCTTTTAGGTTTCTTTGCAGCCGCCCAAATTTATGGCTCTACTTTGCCTTAAATAAAGTTATCTGGCAAATAATAAGTAGTAGCTTTTGGACGTTTTCACACTTCCTAGGAAAGCACAATTTCAAGAACAATAGGAATTTTTAATAAATAAAATTTTTAATAAAATATAAAATTAAAAGCCAAAAGTCTTTGAAAGTTCTCTTACTGAATTTTTAATACTGCTGCAAGAGATTATGGTACCTATGAATGCACTATTTCCAAGTGTAGACTATAGTGTAAGCTTTAGAAAATAATAGGGAGAAAAGAAGAAAAATGAGATATTCCTATTAGGAAGTTTTGAAGAAGTCTGATAACTGTGACAAATCTTGAGTATTCTATTTTGATCTGCAAAGGTTGGGAATCTGCCTGTAACAATAAGAAATTGGTGAAAAAATACTGACCATCTTTTTGCTCAGACTGAAAACACCAATCTTTCCAAAACAACTGAAAAAACAAAACTGTATTATAGTATCTGCCCAAATGAACTGAAATGCACTGTGGATTTCAGACATTCTCAGTATTCTGCACAGTCAACATTAAAAATGGAATGAAACTTGAAGCTTTCATGCGAAATAGATCTTTAAAATTCAAGCATCCTCCATAAATAATAAAATTGCATTTTCTCTAGTAGACTTGCTAAAATGATAATCACAGAAGTTGGAATAGTAATTTTTAATGGCTACCGCATTAATAAAAAATTTCCTAGACCTACCTCATTTACCAGGAGACATATTTCTAGCTTGTCTACCATCAGTCTACTCTAAAGCTGAATGGTGATGCCTTTACATAATCTGTATTCTATTATTTGCATAAAAATAACTGACAGAGTCTTAACTAGGTAAGGCAATGGGATTTTGGTCTGAATTTTAGAAATAAGCTTTCTTTACCATAGAGTGTATTTTTTTCAGGAAATAATCTTAAATAATATAGCCATTTTATTTTAGTTCTGTCTTTTCCAGTTTGAAACTTTGATGCCTAAAGTCTTTTATAAAAGAAGTTGATTAGTGGGTACAAAAGTACAGTTAAGTAAAATAAGTTCTAGTATTTGATAGTGCTAGGGAGATTATAGTTACCAGTAATTTATTAGCTATTTCAAAATAGCTAGAGGAGAATTGTAATGTTCCCACCACAATGAAGGATAAATGCTCAAAGTGATGGATATCACAGTTACCCTGATTTGATCATTACGCATTGTATTCAGGTATCAAAATATCACATGTACCCCCAATATATGTACAAGTTTGACATACCAATTTAATTTTTGTTAATTTAGAAAACCTTATTTTGAAAATACAAAAGTGTTGCAAATGATGACATATCAGTTATGATTTTTTTTTTGCCACAAATGCATACAAAAGAAGGTTTGGGAACTGGGCAATTAAAAAAAATATTCACTAGATTCTATAGAGTTTCTATATCATAACGAGTAACTGGACTAAGAGTGTTTTATCTGTAAATAAGAATACACATGCACTTGAAGCAAATATATAATAAAATATAAACATGTATATAAATATAAGCATTTTATTACAAATGCATACATGCAATATTTATTATTGGCCAAATATTTATTACATATACATTTATATACATATAATAAAATATTTTTACAGAAGAGTAGACAAATGCCTTCAGTTTGGGCAGAGACAAAATTAGTGGCGTAGCTAAGACCAGGACCCGAGGGTCTCCTAGGGTATCCTCCAGGTCTCTTTGTAGTGGATCCAGACATGTGTATTTATTTTCCCAGTCACATAATTAATACTCATGGTATCCAATAGGCTGTATGCTTTCAGAAGACAGAGACTATATTTTTTATTCTGTGTCCACAATTCCCAAGACAGTGCCTGTTCAACAAAAGGTGAGCACTAAGTGTTAGAATTTGATTGTTTGTATTTTGTATTTTTTGAGACAGGGTCTCACTTTGTCACCCAGGCTGGAAACTTTGGTCCCACTTTGTCACCCTGGCTGGAAACATGGCTCACTCCAGCCTCTACCTCCCAGACTTAAGGTATCCTCCCACCTCAGCCTCCCACATAGCTGAGACTACAGGTGTGTGTCACCACGCCCAGCTAATTTTTGTATTTTTTGTAAAGACGGGGCCTTACTATGTTGCCCAGGCTGGTTTCAAACTCCTGAGCTCAAGCAATCTGCCCCCCTCAGTCTCCCAAAGTGTTGGGATTACAGGCGTGAGCCTCTGTGCCCTGCCTGTGTTTATTGACTGAACTACTGGGAGCAGCATTTCACAGACCACTTTCACATGCATTAGTCTATATATTACTTATAAGGGTAATGTATATATTTTAAAAGGACTTTAAAAAATTAATGATAAGTTAATATTCTGCAAAATGAATGTCTAAATCCAGTGTTACTATTTTTATTTGTAATGAATAATCATTTAGATATTACTCTAAGACAATTTTAGAAGGGAAGTTATATGCTTAAGAATCTTGAAAATATTAATATAATATTAATATAATATCCCATGCTCACAAAATGACCACCCTTCTTGATTTGTCCTCTTTATTCTCTGTAATCATTTAGATCAGGAACTGGCAAATGGGTCAGGAGTTGATAACCACCTGCTTTGGGCGAAATCCAGACCACTAGTCTGTTTTTGTATGGCAGTGAGCTAAGAATTTTTTTTAACATTTTTAAAAGGTTGAAAAATAAAAAGAATATTTCATGACACATAAAACTTGTATGAAATCCAAATTTCATGTCCATAATTTTTATTGCAACCCAGCCATGCCTATCTGTGTCTGTGGTTGCTTTCATACATTGGTGGCAGAGTTGGGTCGTGGCTGCGAGAAGCTGCGTGGCCTGCTGAGCCAAGATCGCTTACTGTATGGTCCTTTACACAGAATGTTTGCCCATCCTGATTTAGATTCATGGTAGTCTCTGTGCTCTCAAAATATTGAAAATGCTAAGTGTTATGTTAAGTCCTGTGATGTTGCTTCAAATTGCAATAAGGGATCAGAGTTAATTTTGCCGGTATGTTAATCAGAATAATTTTAAGGGTTTTGGTGGTTTATTTTTAGGACCAGTGACACAATAGTCTTTTCCCAAAAGGAGCACCTGCCAGTCACTCAGATCGTGATGATGGACGGAGGCCGACCCCATTCCGAAGCAGCTTATACACTGGGGCCGCTGCTCTGCCACGGAGATAGTAAGTAATGGCAAGAAAAAGCTTTCTTTTCATAACAACAGTTTTTTGGTTATGAAAGAGTAGACAAATGCCCTTATTTTGGCCAGAGAGAAAATTAGTAGCAGTACTGGGACTGGGACGAATATCAGGAAAACACACATACCATAAAGGCACAGTCAGTACTGAAGATCCGTGTTTCCTTATTGAAGCATTGGTTTATAGAGAGTGAATCACCTTTGTTTTAACTTATTACTTGGTTGGATGGATTTATTATCCATTTATCATTATTTCTTCCAGAACAGTCATTAGGTAAAGTATTTTCTGAGTGTGTATTGATCTCTTTTCTGCAGCATTTTCATTCATTTTTCCATGGTCGAGTCCTCCCTCCCCCACCTCATTGGCGCTATTAGCCCAGGGTTCTTTCATGCCTGTGAGGATCTACCTACTGCCCAGTGTGTGAACCACAACTAAGCTAGGAAAAATCTTTCCCTGAGAAATATTGTAAAGGTGTTTCTTATCCACTAGCATCATACATTGCTGTGGAAGAGTCTGAGACTAATGTATTTTTATTTCCTGCTCTACCTCAGTGTGTGGAGGCTGCTGCTTAGAGAGGTGGTTCAATAAGGAGCCTGGGTGTCTCTGCACATTTTTGCCGAGAGTGCCAGATGGCATGACGTCTCCACCCCCTGATACCAAGCAGTTTCTGTAGCCAGTCATGTAGGCAGCTAAGTAGTTCGAAGAGAACAGAGCATCACTATCAATGTGTACTCACTCCCCAGAGAGGAGGGGGACTGGCTTGCCTCCTGCTTGCTCAAGGAGTCCCACGTCTGGGGGCTCCTCATCTGAGATGCAAACCCACCTACTGTGTGTGTGTCACACCCATCTGGGCCCATGGATCGTGTCGCCCTTGAATTTTTGGAGATAAGGGGAACCAGTGCAAATATTCTGATGCTCATGCTGCATGCTGTGCTTGTGGCGAGCAACAAAGTTCTCTAACTCTGATTCATGGATGCTGATAGGAAATTCTGTGTTTTCTATCAGCATCCGTGAATCCGTGGCAAGCTAAATTGTTAGTTTGCAAGGAGGGTGAAATCTCAGAGTCTTTGTGGCTTTTGACAGATATGTTATCCTTTAATTGCAAAAACGTATTCAGAGTATACCTTATAGTTAATTATTTTAATTTTTTTCTAAAATAAAATCTGCTTATTTTGACCTAAAAATTCTGTTCTCCTTTAAGAAAAAAACGGTTTTTATTATGCTTTGAATACATTTCCTGTTTCATTTGTTGGCTTCTCTGCATCTGGGACTGTGGACTTGTTTCCTTTGCCCCCTATCCGTTTTTTTCTGTTTCTTCCAATTGCTTTAATCTCTTTGTCCTTCTCCTCTGTATTCAATATGATTATCCTAAGCTTTTCCCAATGTCAATCATTTATTATCAGCTGTGTTCTTCATTTATGGATATTTCTGGTTTATCTGTTACCTCTGTGATTTTGTTTGGGTCTTTGATTTTTTTTCTTAAAATCAACCTTTGTTTTTTTTTTTTTGAGACGGAGTTTCGCTCTTGTTACCCAGGCTGGAGTGCAATGGCGCGATCTCGGCTCACCGCAACCTCCGCCTCCTGGGTTCAGGCAATTCTCCTGCCTCAGCCTCCTGAGTAGCTGGGATTATAGGCACACGCCACCATGCCCAGCTGATTTTTTGTATTTTTAGTAGAGACGGGGTTTCACCATGTTGACCAGGATGGTCTCGATCTCTTGACCTCGTGATCCACCCGCCTCGGCCTCCCAAAGTGCTGGGATTACAGACGTGAGCCACTGCGCCCGGCCTCTACTTTTGTTTTTAAATTATCTCATATTTTAGCTTTTATTTTACTGAATTGGTTTTTATATTATTCCCGTACTATGAAACTCTTATGAAATTTTTCTTTCCTTCTGTTGTGTTCTCTCTTAATTTTTTCCTTCCTCCCTCCCATTCAGTCTGGCTTCTCCCTCTCTCCCTCCCTTCCTTCCTCCCTCCCTCCCTTCCTTCCTAACTTCCTCCCTCCCTCCCTCCCTTCCTTCCTTCCTAACTTCCTTCCTCCCTCCCTCCCTCCCTTCCTTCCTTCCTCCCTCCCTCCTTCCTTTCTTCCTTCCTTCCCCTCACTCCCTTTTTTCTTTTTTCTTTTTCTTTTCCTTCCTTCCTTCCCTCCCTCCATCCCTCCTTCCTACCTTCCTTCCTTCCTCCTCCCTCCCCTTTTTCTCTTTTCTTTCTTTTCCTTCCTTCCTTCCCCCCTCCCTTTTTACTTCTTTCTTTTCTTTTCCTTCCTTCCTTCTTTTTTTCTCTATGTTTGTGCTGTTTCTGTGCTTTTTTAAAACATTGTACATACTTGTAGTGGCAGGTCTGTCCAGACATGTAATTCATTTGTATGTGATAGAATTGAATTCTTCTTGACGTGCATCTCTTCACAATCAGACACATAGTTCTTGTCCCTTCTGTGTAATAGCAAGACTAGAGTCAACCATTCTATCAGTATTTTTTCCCGTAATCTAAGAGCTCAAGTTGGTGAGGGCGGGATCTGTTGAGTTGAATCTGATTTACTGGCTATTCTCTGTGCTGTTTTATCTTCAAGAATTATTAAATGTCCTGTGCCAGGCATCACACTGCAGCGTGGAGGTCATATCCACAGGCGTCAGATTTTTCCCACAGTTCGGTATTAACCCCTGGAAATCTGTAGCTTTTCTCCCTGCCTATCGATACCCTGATGTCAAACACTGATTTATAGATACTCTGGACTTGTAAAAAACAGTTTTTAGGTTATTTTCTCTATAGAAATTTACCTCAGTCCTTCACTTCTCTCCAAATGCAGCTATATTTGTGAGACTCATCAGGATATATCATTCACCTTCTGTTTATATCATACTTTCAGCTAGACCAATCAAGGTATGGACAAGAGCAAGTACAATATTTGAAATATTCCCTTCTCACTTTGGGAGACTGAAATCAGAGGATCGCTTGAGCCCAGGAGTTCAAGACAAGCCTGGACAAGATGGCGAGACCCCGTCTCTACAAAAAAAATGACAAATTATCTGGGCATGGTGGCCCGTAGTCCGAGTGACTAGGAAGGCTTAGGTGGGATGATCTCTTGAGCCCAGTAATGTGAGGTGGCAGTGAGCTATGTTCATTCCACTGCACTCCAGCCTGCGTAACAAAGCGGGACCTCATCTCTAAAATAAATAAGTAAATAAACAAACAAAAATAAAGAAAAATAAAATATTTTCTTCTATAAAACTTCCCCTGTAGCTTCCTCCTTTCTCTTTCCCTTTCCTTATCTTCGTCTCTTTTTTTTTTTTTCCAGTATATGTGCTGCTGAAGTGAGCACCATCTCTTTTTTTTTTAACATAATATTTATTGATTTTTTTTTTCTCTTCCTTTGGGGCAGCTGGGACTAGGGGATCTGCAGGGATGGGGTCAAGAAAGTGACCACTGGGCTGGAAGCTTGGTTTCACACTGAGGAATGCGCAAAGATGTAAATACGGTGAGGAGAGTGGGAGCCGGTCTTCTCACTGAAGAAAGAGTTATACATGTGGGAAGAAGGAAGACTGTAATGAAACCCGTAGTGCTGGGTTAAAAATGGAGGTATCCACATGAACTCATGGATTTTGATATACATAATAGAAAACTGTAGAATACACAGAGAAGAGAGAGAGTGTGTGTGTGTCTGATATACAAATACATGTATTTCCTGGCTGACTACTAAGAGGGCTAGAAGCAGTGACACCTTAGTAAATACCTAGCCTGCAGATCTGGGCTTCTAAACACCATTTCCTATCATTCTCCGCTGAAAGAGAAACCAGAACTCCTTGGAGAAAAGGCTGATTCCAGAATTGTGGCCAAAAAAAAAAAAGCTTTAAGATAAGCCTGGATCATTTTGTTATGACAAAAGGGAAAAATGAGCTCAAAAAAGGACATGGGCGTCATCTTAAAGGAGCTGCCACATTTGAGACAACATAAGCATCAAAGTACGTTATACATTATAAACCATTGAATAGAATAGGAATTCAAGAGTGAGGCGAATAAACAAATGGATAAATACACAAATAAATCAGTAAAAGATCAAGCAAAAAGCTATTTCTAACAGAGGCATGCCAACCAACTAATGTGGAAGGAATGATGGAACTGAGAAAATCACCACTGGCAGCCATCAGAATAAAAACTCAAGTAGGGGCCGGGCGCGGTGGCTCACGCCTGTAATCCCAGCACTTTGGGAGGCCGAGGCGGGTGGATCACGAGGTCAAGAGATCGAGACCATCCTGGTCAACATGGTGAAACCCCGTCTCTACTAAAAATACAAAAAATCAGCTGAGCATGGTGGCGTGTGCCTGTAATCCCAGCTACTCAGGAGGCTGAGGCAGGAGAATTGCCTGAACCCAGGG